GGGGGGATCGGAGTTAGAGGTAGGGAGGAGAGGGGGGGAAAGTTTCTCGGGGGAGGCAAAAAAAAAGTTTTTTCTCCTCTGCAAAAGGCGGGCAGGGCGCCCTAAGTCCAAGGACAATCCATGGAAGTGTTCGCTTCTTCACAAGTTGTGCAAACGATTTGTTAGTTCATGAGCCTAATTAGTGCGGGGATCACATAAACAGCTTCCTCCGAAGCCTGGTAAATGGCTTGATGATTGGTCGCTATTACTCGCCCTGAGGTGGAAGGGGGGAGACTCTTTAAAGTGCGTCAGAGGGACGCGAGCGCCTGGGAACCCGGAGGCCTGGATCCCGGCCGAGGTGGAACGGAGTCGGCGCCGCTGCCTCGGCCGTGCCTCCCGCCGCCCGCCAGGCCGCCCGGCCTCTCCGCGCCCGCGCCCCGCGCTCCCAGCTCACTCGCTCCCGCGGCGCCCGCTGCGGCTTCTCCTCCTCCTCTTTCGCCTCCTCCTCTTCCTCCGGTTTCTTCTCCTCCTCCTCCTCTTCCTTCTTCTCCTCCTCCTCTTCTTCCTCCTCCTCTTTCCCCACCTCCTCCCCCTCAGCCACTGCCTCCTCCTCCAACACCACTACCACTCCCTCCGGGGCACCCGGGTCCCTGCAGAGTCCCCGGTCGGCGCCGCCTCCGCTGCGGCCCCCTGGATCCCGAGCCTGCAGAGCCCAAGCTGATAGGACAGACGGACGGACAGATCCCTCGCGCCTGGCGCTCCACCGCTGCTGCCACCCGCAGCCCCGCGTCGGGGGAACTGGGATCGCCCAGGAAGCACCTCGAGGGTAAGCGGGCGAGGGCTGGTGCCCGGCGTGGGCTAAAGGTACTGTCCGGTTGTACCAATTCCCACACTCAGCAAAGCTCCCAGCGTTTTCCTAGGCGAAGAGGGAGCCTGGGGTGGGGGTGGGGGTCCTTCCACCCCTCCGACCGCGCGGACCCTCGAGGTACCAGGGTCGGTGCGTTCGCGATCCGTGACCCCGCTCGTTCGTTTGCAAGTTGAGACGGAGCCGCCAACCCTGTCGGAGCAGTGGGCTTCCAACTTGCGCCCGCTCTCGCCCCACAGTCTTTCGCTTTTTCCGTCTGGGAGGGTGCTCACCTCCTTCCTGAAAACAGTTCCTTCTGGAATATCTGGGACCGGGAGTCCAAGGTCAGGGGAGAGCCCAATGTGGTGCTACTCTACTATTATTGTTCCGTTGCAGTTATTTTGGATAGTGTTGTCATTATTATTGTTGTTGCTATTATTATTATTTCTATTATTATTCTGCCATCTGTTGTCCTAGGGACGAGTTGCTGAGCAAACCTAGGGCTCGAAACCAGGGACTGCGGATTGAGTCTCCGGTCCTGGGCCGTGTCCGCATTTTCGAGCTCGCCTTCGGTTTTGGGATGATTTTAGGGCCGAGTTCCCTCGTCCCCATTGGCTCACGCGGCGGCATAATTATGATCACATCCCCCAGGCTGCTGGCGCTGCTCTCTGTTTATTGGTGGTTAAAGATCTATTATCTATTCATCAGTCGCCTCTCTTTTTTTTCCTTTTTTTTTCTTTTTGCCAATTACAATCTTCTAAAGTGAAATACCAGCAGGTATTTTGCACGTTTACAATTAATGATAAAAAATCTAGCGTCCTTTAAATCTATTACTCCTAGGCCCATGTTATTTCTCTTAAGGAGGAAGAAATGCCTGTGTTTGGTGACTAGGTTGCCAGGAGAAGTGGATCGGGAGGGGAGAAGAGTGAAGTCCACAGTGAGCAAGGCTGCAAGGCCACCAGAGCCAACAGCCGGGGCCCGGTCTTAGGACATGCTCCACGCTTCCGGAGCTACCCTGTTCCTCCCTTGGTTTCATCTGCTGTGTATTTCTGTGTCCATTTCTCTACTTTCTTCCAGATATAGTGTTGGCGGGGTAGGGTGTCCAAATACCTCTTTCGGGAAACCCTTCAAGGCAAGAGAGGAGTTGGGAGCAGTGCTTTCTTGTGTTGTCAGGGTGCCCCACAGATTAGTGGGAAGACCACAGAGATCATCTTCTCTGCCCCCCAACCTTCCCAGGGCACACAGATGCACATATTCACACACCAGACAGGTGTGAGCCTCAGCTTTGTCTTCATGGTGGGAGAAACCTTCCTGTCCTTTAGGCTTTGGACCTCTGTGACACCAGCTTTGGGCTGGGGTCCTGGCCTGGTATTGACATTGTGTTGGTTCCAAGTGGCCTTGCTTTGCTCCCTTCCTTTTTCCAGGCCCAAAGATTCTGGGCATTAGATTCAGCTCCTTGAGGTGGGATGCACTTGAAGACGCACCTCCTTTGGGCCTGAACCACTGTCCCCCAAAAATATTTTCTCCAGCTTGGAAATCCCTCCCTCAACTAGGCTGTGGGGACAGAGGCCCCATCTCCATTAGGCTGACAGGAAGCCTGAGGGGTGGAGGTCTTTTGGCTGAGCCCAGCCAGCAAGCCCGGAGCAGAGCTAGGGGTTGGCCCTCCAATTTCTGAAGCTGGAAACAAATACCCGATTTAGGCAGGCCATGGATCCCATGGCCTAGCAAGCAGGAGAGGGCACCTTCCCATGAACCTCTGAAAGAGGGCTGGAGGGCCAGGCTCCAGCAGCGCCCTCAGGCCAGGCCCTCCAACTGGGCCTGAGATGTTGGGGTTGCAAAGTAGGACCACTAAAAGCTCTAGCCTCGCTTCAGGGCGGAGAATGGCTGTTTACTGCACAGTTAGCATTACTGATCTTGGCTGGGGGATAAAAGTCGTTGACCTTGAGGGCAAGGGGAATTCAGTCTATGTCTGGGAGATAGGGTGAGCCCCCCCCCCCATGGTGCATGATATAGAAGGGTGTTCGGTGCTCCCCCTCTCTTAAAACTTTCAGCTGTGAGTCTGAAATATAGTCCATACTCCCTTAACCCTTCCCGTCTTCCACCGGTTGGTGTTGGGAGAATGTCCTAAAGGAGCAAGTGACAAAGTGACAGTCTGGAGACAGGACTCTTCTGCTTCCTGCCTGAGGTGGGGAACGTTTGTCTGGAGCAGAGGACCAGACTGCTCCCACATCTAATGGGTTGAGGCATCCTCTGCAAGCCACCAACTTTTACAAACTGCCCCACCTATGGCCTGCTTTGTCCCAGGGGCTCTGGCTGACCATCTAACAGGTGGGGAAGAGTGACGAAGCAGCAGGGTCTGGTACCCGCCTTCCTGAAGGGAGAAGTGCCATGTTCCTCTGCCCCAAGTGCCATGGGGCCCCAGTGGCACTCCAGCCCCCTTGAAGAAGCAACGGGTTTCCGGGTTTCCGGTGAGTCGGGGCAGTGCAGAAGCCCAGGAAGCTGAGTAATCTATGCTAATTCGTGGGCCAGGACCTAAGGAGCCCAGGAAGGTTTGCGCTGTCTGGCCCAACGTGTGGGGGAATTAACTAGGATAGTAACTCATTAACCATAGTGGCCCGTGGAGGTGCACCAGGGTACTGGGCACTCTGGTCTGGACTCGGACCCTGAACTCGTAGACTCCACGGCTGCCACTCACTATACCTGTGGCTTTGGGCCTTGCCTGATACAGACCCTGGTTGTTCCTTACCCGCCCAAGGAGTGGGTGTTTCGTTAAGTACTTGTGCGTGCAGTGGGAGGTGGGAGGATTTCTGAGACTCCAGTTTAGGGAAAGGGCTTCCTCCCTCCGCCCCATGTGTTCCCCAAGGCACAGCTGCCTATTGGGCTCTGTAGACTCAGGAGTCTATACTCTGCAGGCAGCTGGACTAGCAGACACATCCGAAGGTTCTAATCCCTGATCTGTCACTTACTGAACGACTTTGGGCAATGCTGAAACCTCTCCAGCCCTCATTTTGTCTTATGTAAAAATGCAGCCAATGCTGCCTGGGAGGAAGTGGAAAGCATCAGTATGGCTTGTTTTGGGCAAACAATAGAACAGTTCTACTTCCTGATTGTGGTAGTACTTACATGACTGTATATGTTTTTCAAAACTCATAGAACTGTACACTACAAAGGGTGAATTTTACTGTATGTAATGATATCTTAAAAAACCTGCTCCCACATACCAAAAAGAGGCTTGCATTTACAGCTTAACTGCATGACCTCGGGCAAGTTACCTAACCTCTCTATGCCTCTATTTTCTCTTCTTTGAAATGGGAATAAAGAGTAATACCTTGGCCCTTGGGATTGTTCAGTAAGATAAGCAAAGTGCTTAGACTGTATATCGGGCACATACTGAACTACAATAAATGCTCCTGTCCTTGATGTTGCCGTTGTTACTATTTACCCCATCCAGGGCTTGTTGCTGGGCTTTAGGGACTGAACAATAAAGTTGCACAAACATGAGCTGATGCTGGTCTCACATTCCTGCCATGCTGCTCCGTGCTCCCCCAAAGGCCTCAAACTTCCCTAGGGAGATGGTGGGCTGAGAGAGGCCTGGATTCCTGGCTCCTGGGAGGCATCAAAGGGCAGGAATTCCCGGGGATCTCTGATAACCATCTGCTCCGAGTTTCCTGCAAGCACCCTGTGCTTCAAAGGCGAAATGGCAGTGCCTTACCCTCTTATGACTCCGTGCTAGGCCTGTGAGGTATCTGGGGTGGGTTCACGGTCTCTTGCCTCTCAGAAGAGGTATTCAGGGGCTGCCTGGGGTCATTACCTGTGTGACTTTCACCTTCTTGAGCCTTGGTTATCTCATCATTGAAAAGGCAATATCGCTATCTTAACGGTTGTTGAGAGGAGTGAGCGAGTTAATGCTTAGCACACTGTTAACGTTCATCAAATTTTGTTATTGTTAGGCCTTGTGGGGTCCTGCCCACCCTCTACACTTGGACACGTGCAGGTCGCCCTGGACCCTCTCAGTG